TGCCTTCATGTTGCCACAGATGGATTATCACTCTACATGGTAACCTGTTATGCCTTTTGTGGCGGGCATTAGCATAGTATATATCACAACTGGCATATCACAGAAGTAACATTTATGCACACTGGCAACTTCACCCATATGAGCAGTGCCATCACAGACAAAAGGACTATCCTCATACATAAAGTTTCTCACATGCCCAAGTTTTTGCAGGATCAGAGTCAACAAGATTAATATGACAAGAATACCTGCTGGTGTTTGGCTGCAGCATACAGGTTTCAAAGCCAGAAGCCTGGGGTGACTACTTGTAAGTGGCTAGGTTATGAATAAGTTACACGGGTTACTCCAAACAACGCATCTAAAACATTTACCCTAACAAACACTATCTGGTGTTTTGCTTGCAGCACATTTTAGACCAAAGATATTTTTAAAATATTTGTGAAGAGCTTATATCTGCCATAACCCCCTGCCAATAAAACAGGCTGTCTTCGGGCCTGCGTCAGCATTGCACTTAGGCAGGTGCTTGCCTAGAAACAAGTGTTTAAGCCTCACTGAATTCAATGGGATGTAAATATGTCTACAAAGTTAAGCATGTGCATGATTATGATTCTATGTAAGGGCTTTGCTGAATGGGAATGCTCTGATGGACCATGACTTTAAAAGATGTAAAGAGCTCAAAGTGACAGACACTGTAAATATACTTTTAAACCTCTAGGAAGATGCCTTTTCTGCATATCAAGAGGTTGCAGTTTTGACAGACAGTATCTTAGGATCTTCCAGAGATCATTTAATCACACAGCTCTCTTATGAATCATAGCAGGGACATCTAGCCCTAGCAGGCTCACACCTTAAATGTGTCTCTCTGACCCAGGGCTGAATATTGTCTGAGACTTCAGAGAGCAATGGAATTTTAAATCCCTGCTTTTTGAGCTGCTCAGAGGTTGGGAGTGTTAGAATGTTGTAGCTGTCTTGGCTTAGGCTATATCAAGACTACAGAGTTTTTCCGGGATACTAAAGTTATCCCGAAAAAACTCTGCCGCGTCCAGGGAATGCGTCTGCTCTTGTGACATTTTTTGCGGAAGAGCAGACGTGCTCTTTCGGAAGCCCCGTCTTCCTCCTGCTGTATTTTTTTCCTTTGCATAGCTCAAAGTGGCTGAGTACCACTCCCCAACTTTCACATAAAAGCATAGCCTGGGCTAAAACTTAGTATGGAAGATTTCAACCAGTAAGGAGATTTTTCTGGTGATATCTTGGAAAAGTGTGGATGCACCTTCACTTTATCATGAAAATCCCATGCTGTAACAGCCTCCCTGAGTCACCCACCCTAAAATTCTACTTGCACTTTTCACAGACTAGAAACCTCTGCTCCTTTTAGATATATATATTTTTTTACTTTCCTGTGTTTTCACAAAGACATAAACAGGAATGAAACTGTGAGGCTTGTCGTGAGCCTTTCAAATAAATAGCTCTGCCATCTTTTTAGTAATTTGACAAGCTGGTTCCAGGCCCTGGGGAGGAAGCTAATAAACTTTTAGTTGCTTTGCTATTGTTTTCCTAAAACAATTTGACTTCCTTTCTAATAGCCCCAAATCCTTCATTAAAAATAGAGTAGCTGGGAGCCAGAGGAAGAGCTGAACTGGGGCCAAGTCGCTGCTGACAATACAGCCTGCGTAAGATCACATTTATATCCCAATCCAGGACGACTCTTTAAAAGAGCAATAGTCAGACAGCTGCCAGTGTATGTCAGGCAGAGCACAGGAGCTGGGAACCCCCAGCTTATTTCCTTCAAGCTTTAGGGATTCTCCAGCCAGTCAGCTAGTTTCAGTCTACAAGTGGCTATATTCCAGGAGCTGTCTGGGGTTTGTTTGCCCCATTATAAGGGGCCTCCCTCAGACAAGGAGCCCTACTGAGCACTGAGCACTAGCAGAGAGATGGGTTCTTGCCTGCCCTAGAATCAGTGCCAAAACTACTAGTAACCTTCACCCCCCTGCATTGTGTGTTGCTCCCCCACACCTGTCCAGAATCAGCAGAAAGAGGTAATAGTTTTTTATTATCTTCTTCATTATTTATTATTATTAATTATTATATTGAAATAACATGCTTGTGTGAGATGGTTATTGATTTAACCAGAGAGTGCATATTTAGAAGACAGAGAGTGAGTGGTGTCTGGTAGCTACAGTCAGGGATAAGCAGGCAAGACTCCTGGATTCAGCTATCTTGGCTCTACAAATGACTTGCTGAAGCCCTGGACAAATCACTTAGTCCTTCCCGGACTCAGTTTCCCCATTTCTAAAATGGGGACAACTGTCATCTTCATAGGCCTGCTGTGAGGCTTCACTAAACTCATGCTTCCAAATTGCTTTGAGATGCTCTGAGATGCTAAGGAGGTGTAAGGTAGTAAGTAGAACTGGCAGCAGCAGATGATGCAATTCAATTCTTTGTTACATCTAACACAAGGCTCGCAGCTAACTCTTCATTTCATTTCATTTATTTTCGCTTCTGACTTACGGAGAGGGAAATCTGCCCTGATTTTTTACTCTTCAAAACTTTGTTTCAGAATTCAAATGAAACTGACATTCTTGTGCCTCATCTTTTTTCACTGTGTCTATCTGGGACTGAGAGAGATTCTGGTGAAAAACATCTTACTACATTGAAAACATTTAAGATTTTATACTAAAAGAATATGTGACTACAAAAACATGGCTCACTTGGCTCTCAGGGTTTTATCATCACACACTGCTGCAGTGTTCAGAGGCACAGTTCACCCTTAGGAACCATATTTTGGGGCAGAAGATTCCTTCACAACTGAGGGTCTACGGCAAGGAAGCTCTCCCTTTGTCACCTCTACACAAGGGAACTTTAGGGGAAAAACGGCACCTGTCTAACATTGCTGGTTTCACTGTCCTAGTGTAGACAAAGCTCCACTGGATTCCTGCACTGTTATCACATTGAAGATCAGGTTTAATGGTGAGGCCATGTGAGCCATGGCTACAGAAAGGTTCCTCCAAGTGCTACTGCTGCCATCAGAGAAAGCCCTGGTTAGATTTGTTTTTCTAAATTCCACTTGTGTAGAAAAGCTAGAGGATACATTCCTCTCGTGTAATGGGCCTCCTCTCTTCCCTGCAAACAGCCTCAGAAAACTACTTAGCCTCCCCTGCTCCGGCCTTTCAAAACTGCCAGGCTGTCAAGAAAGCACATACCCCTGCACAAAACAGCCTTCCCAAAAGAGCGCAGTCTTCACAGAGCATTTCCTTTATGTGGTGCACCACCTTCCAATGCACATTCTCGCCTATACTGTGTGCTCACACACCTTTTCAAATGGAACCAGACTTTTTATTGGTTTAGTCGGCTTACTGGAACTCTACGGGGAGGAGAATTATATTAACTACAGATGAGGCCTGTGCTAAAAATGCCACTGTGCTGATACGGTGCTCAGAATCTCACCCCCACCTCTTTCTGGGTGAGATTAGATAACTGTGATAGGACAATGTGGGGAATGAGGAGGCTACACAAGGTAATCTGTGGATGCACTTTTTATTGCTACATGTCCTGGGGAGGCTTAATTCGCTATCTGAGCTTTGCACTGCGCGCCTCTTAGCTGGGGAAGAGGAGCCCTTCTTTCCAGGCTATGGCATTCAGAACAGCTGCCTCCCTAGCCTGTGCCCTGAAGCCATGTGTGTGGTGGGAGATGGAGCCATATAGCAGCAGCATACTGACCTCTCTCCCCTTTCCCTTGTACTAGCTGGCTCTCACCCAATTCCCTGCTGTGCAATAGCACACAAGGTGTCCTCAGAAAATACAAGGTCTATGTAGAAGGTACCACAGAGCATGCCTTATGCACACATGCCTTAAAATCCCACTTCCAAGCCATGCAGCAAACACCCCGAACCCAGGTTTATTGAGACAGGGCCAGGACCAGTCCCATACCACACACAACACACACACGCATATATGTAGCCCCATAGAAACTCCCTGTAGTCACTCAACTGAACAAGATCTTATCTAGGCGTGCAGATACCTTATGGCTCAGTCTTAGAGCAAGCAAATCAATGGCCTAAACCAGGAAAATCAGATCTGAATACTTTGGGTATAGAGCAAAGTATCACAAGGGGCAGGGACGGAGGTAGCTTCATCACCATCACAACACCACTTTGCACCTCTCTAGCAAACTGAAACCACTTTACAAGCATTAACAAATCACCCCTAAAGTCACCGTGGTCAGGTAGGTCTGTATTATCATTTTATGGATGTGCCTTTATGGAAAAATCCTATTAAAATTCATAGGGATAACAGGGCTCTATAGAAATTGAATAAGGTTCTAGAGAAATTATTCTAAATAACCTGAAGAATGTAATATTCTCCTTTCTACAGATTGTTGGTTGGTTTGCTTTTGTTTGTTTGGTCCATACAATAGAATTCCGTAGCAAGTATAAAACTTTCCATTCATTCCTATACAAAGGTTCAAAAAACCTATAGAGAATTATCAATTTCTATTACATAGGGCATGTGGTACCAAGACTTAAGATTTACTGCTGAAGGACACCCAGGAAATCAATGTTGGAGATGGAATTAGAGTTTAGGAGTTCCTGGTTCTTGGTCCTGCACTCAGTTCATGAGAACACCTTCACTTCTCAAATGACTTGATCTCTGTTAGCTGATATGGTCAGCAGCTACGGATCACTTTGAATTTATAAAGAACTACTTCTGACTATATGTGGGCTGACTATAGGGAGGGAAGGCCACCAGAGAAAGTGTATGGTCACACCATTGTGCAGAGTAGAGTCTTTCGCCAAAGCCCAAATCACACATTCGTCAGCTTTGTTTTCTGTCAACAGCCATAGCTCAGACTGGCTGGAATCTCAGCATTTGTTCTCAACACTGAGGCCAAGTGTTAAATAGAAATGAACGATGGGATTAGACATGAGTATGGGTAATGATGAGCTCAGCCAACATTAGCTATGAAGAAAGCATTTTTAGAAGGGATATAAACTCTCAAGCTATAGGACATATAGCAACCTCTATGTGAAGGGGGTTAGGAAGACATGTCCCCTGTGGGCAAATCATTTCGTATTTGTCCATAAAGAGGTTTCTTGCCCCATCCACTGGCATATCTGGAAATGGCCATGGATGGTATTGTGGAGTGCTCAGCCATAGGACTGGGTGGATATGGCATTTCCCATTCCTGTGCTCCAAATGAAGCACACTGTATTTGGGGTTTAACTTTTGGAGCTGTGCATGTATTTATATTTAGAATGTTTATTTTGTTTTTCTTGTGTGTGAGGCATCCTTGGCTAAATAAAAGACCCTTCTGCACCGTGGGAACTCAGCTTTGATTGGCTGGGCTTTAATAAAGAAGTCAGAAACTACCTCCCAGCCTTGCACTCCCTTTAGTTTGCATACCACAGGAACTTCGTTGGCTGTGGTTGGGATAAACGAGGGGGCAGCCCCGTCTCTTTTAATTTAAAGGAAGGTTTGAAACCAGGGCTTGTTATCTAAGAGAGGAGGTGTATGAGCTATGTATATTGGCAATTGGACGGGACAGTGAGAAGCTAGCAGTCAGTGCAGCGTGATCACAGGGAGGAACAGAACACTGTGACAGAGAAAGTCCAAGAATGGCAGAAAACACAGTGAATTGATATTTTTTTAAAGAAGCAAAAACATGAATAACTGGATTTGAGAGAAAGTGTGATGGACAGAGAAAAAGTGGGGGGAGATAGTGGGGAGGAGACAGAGAGGAACAGTGGAAAGAAATAAAAAGGGAGTAGGTGGAGAGAAAGAGGAAGAAAGGCAGAAAGAGGGTGGGGGGAACCAAATGAGAGACAGACAGAGAAAGTGGGTGGAGAAGAAGGGGAACTGAGACAGAAAGATAAAAGGAGTACAGAACAAACAACTGAAAAGAAGAAAAAGAAGAAGGAACCTGGGAAGGAGGAGGAGACCAGAGAAGAGATACCAAGCATCAGGTAGGTAAAAATGTCATTTACAAAAAAGCATACAGCTGCAGAAATATCAAGGGGAAGTCACATTGCTAGAGTCAAGGGGAAATGGTGTGTGTGTAGGTGGGGGGGAGGGTGAAGATAAGGATATCCATAAAAAGAATAAGAACTTGGACACACATAGACTAGTTATCCATTTATTTCTAGAACATTCACACAACAGTAAGGAGGACAATTAATAGGCATTCTGAAAATTTAACTCCTTCCACTACAAGAAACTTCAGAAGTTACAGAGGAACCTGTTGGCAGCACGCTGGGATAGCTCTCAATGAGGTAGAATGAAAGTACCAAATAGCCTCCTTACAGTGAAATGTGCAGACTGCAGCATAGTTAAAGTTAACCTCTGGTTTTAGTGAAGCTGTCCCTGAGGCAGGGGGTGGAGGAAACGCTGTGTGATTGAAGGGGTGCAGTGTATAAATGTTTCACTCGGTAAATTGCGAAGCAGCTTTCTTCTTGTGCATGCTGAATGGTTTAAAAAATTTGCCTGTTTCATTTCCTTGCGGGTGTCACATCCCAGCTCGGCTATTACATGGAGCTTGAGAATGTTGCCCAACATTCCTAGGGAGAGCAATGGAAATGTACAGTGCCACCTCTTTAAAGTCTCCTTATCACATGTACTGTGTGCGATGTGCAGTAACTGAGTCTCAGGGTTGTGAGCCCTTTGTTCTTTGAACTTCCTCTTGGTTCACATCCTAATCCCAGCAAGCCCCGTTAAAAACTGATAACTATAAAGCCCTACAAACACTCAGCACTTTCCATTCTCACTAACAGCTTTTCTAAAACTTTTCTCCCAACTATCTCCTGGGTTTTTTTTTATTGTGTTTACCTTTCAATATTGAGCATTCATTGTATCAGTAATAGATTTCAACGCATAACCAATTTGAAATTGTTGCCTTTATCCTTCCCACTGGGGGAAAGCTAGTGGCAGGACTTGTCATGGGAGACAGAGCCTTTCATTTCCTAATTGCTGGGTCCAATCCAGTCAAAGGCTCTAGTGACCCTATTTAATCTCATTCTAGCTAGTTATAATATCTGAGCACCTTCCACATAAAGTCAATACAGCAACAGTGAAGTCCCTAGTGGATTTTTCAACACTCTGAAGGCAGGTCAATGGGCCGCTAAATTGAGTAGGGGTCGCAGTCCAACTGATAGAGGATAAATAACCACACTGCAAAGGACTAAATCAACAATTTGTTGGCAAAACTCAGAAGAGACATCCTTAAATGGAATGGGCTACAGCAACTGAGCTCCTCTCTCACTACTAAACAATGGGGTTTCTATAGGTTAAGAGTGAAGTACATTGGTGGGGCAGCATGCATGGGAGATGTGTATTGCTATGGGCTATTCTGTCCTAAATTGGTGAATAAAGAGTGGAGGGGGAGTGTGAGCATGTTTGTGTATGTATGGGCATAAGTTAAACAGCTCTTCCCTGTTGCTACATGTTCAGGATAAGCCAAGTAACTATATATTTGCTCTTTTTCTAAAATTCCCACCGCAGAGGAGAGAGCCAACACTTTTCCTCCCATCTTTTGAATCTGCTAGTTTGAGAGAATTCCCGAGGGATCAGAGTTTAAAAAGCTGGTCTGATTCTCTGAAGCTCTGTTCACTTGGGAACTATGCTAAACATTTCTGCAACTTATAAGCATCAGCTATTTTTTCCCTCTCTATGTTATATTGTCTCCCAATACTTTGGGATGTGAATTCCAGTGCTTGGCTAGAAGGAATCTGAAGCCTACCAGAAAATTCAGGACTTCCTACTCCAACCCTTTTCCTTTTTTTGACTTTCACACAGATTTCACACTTTCTGCTTATTTGGCCTCATTTTCTGACTTATCTCAGTGTATTGAAACTAGATGAACAGAAATAGTAATTCAGCAGTCCAGCATGGTCGGCCTGGAGCGCATTTCAGAGCATATGTGGCACGCCTCGGGTGTTGCTGTGTGAAGCATGAGGATAAAGTCTTAAAATTAGAAATGGCCCTCAGGAGACACCAGGCAAGCTTCGATCTTTGGGAACAAAATGTATAGAGAGGGAAAGAAATCAATTTTCAGCTACTGATAGAAAACAGAAATTGTTGTGAACAACATTCTGCACATCAGATCTTTCCTGGGGAAAAGGGGAGTACTTATAGCCCTTACAATGAGTAATGAGTATGTAGATATTAAAAACTGCCTGCCAGTAAATTAATAAGGGGTCAACCTCTCCTCATGGAGGAACTAGAGAGAACTTTGCCACATGGGTACTCCTGGCCCTCTTCGTAAGGTATCATTGAGACTATGCTCTTACTGACATGTCCTGAGAGCTGAACCATTTGAAATTGTTCCTCTGAAATTTCATTTTTCATCCAGGAAAAGAAGCTCCCTTCCTCACTCAGAGCATAGGAGGGAGATGTTACAGGGTGGTGTATGGAGGGAGGGTGGTGTTTGGAAGACACCTGCTTTATTTGATGCAGAAACCAGAGGTGTGTGGTAAATAAGTTAGGGGACGACAGAATCAAAAAGGGCAGTCTCATGGCTAAGGCACATGAATACTGCCCTGGAGAATTGGATTCTATGCTTGTTTCTGCCACAAAGATTCTATTATGCAGTGCTAGAAAAGTCACTTCAACCAGACTTTTCACACATGCTCACTATTTCTGGAATCTTCAATTTTCTGGGTCTCCAACTTGTGGCTCTCTCTTTTGACGCACTGAGCATACACAGTTAAAGCAACTGCAGTCAATGGAAACTATGCTTTGAACCTATGCAATGTGTTATGTAACCTAGGTACTCAGAAAAAGTAGGTTCTACATTTCTCAAATTGGGAGCCCAAGATTAGAGGGTCCTTTTGGCCTTAATCTCTGTAGTGCCATTCCCCATCTGTCAAATGAGGATAATATTACCCTTTCACCTCACAGGAATGGTGTGGAGACACTCCTCAGTGTTTGTGAAGCACTCAAAACTATAATGATGAGCACTATGGAAAAGGCCTCAATAATTCTGGCTTCAGAGCAGGATTTGAATAATGTGTAATAAAATAAGGCCTATGACCATTCACTGAACAAGGAGGATAAAACAAAATCCCAAATAGCTGCTCATTCAGTAAGTACTATCCATCCCAAGCACTGAAGGAAGCAGAGGTCATGTGGAACTCATAATATGTGATCATGTAATTACAGAGAGTATTATAATGCATATACACAAGAGGGCCGAATGAAGGATGCACAGGTAACTTTATTACAAGGACTGCCTAACTTTAGAGTGGTTGACTTTGCAACCTTAATAAGGTGCCTTGGGGGGGGGGGGGGCCACACACACATCATACAAAATAAACCCACCCACAAATTGCATCTGGACTTTGTTCTCAATGTAAATAACTGTCCAAATCTGCTACTCATCATCACTTCTGTTGAGAGCTAACATGGTCCAATATTTTAGCACTCAGGACTGAGATGGAGGTGAGAATTTCAGAGGTTTTGTAGGGGAAGAAGAAAAAGGATTTGCACTGGACACCTCTACCCCCCTCTGCAAACAGTGATTGTTTCACTTTGTCTAATTTCCTTTCACTAATTTTTGGTCCATATAGCAGCGCTGCTTACATCAAAATAAACTAAGGTTTCGAGTAAAAGCTTACACAGTGCTGTATCACATACTTTATTTAGCTTACTAAAGTCTGGTTTTATTTTATCTACTGCATTCCTTCTGCAAATTAGGGGCCCACTCCTGCACATGTTGAAAGCATCCCCAGGGACTCTGAAGGTGCTCAGTACGGGCCAATAGCAGGCCTTATTAATGCTGTAATTTGACTTTCTTTTAAATGAAAGTTTTAAAACATTATGGGCCAAATTCAGTCTTGCTGTTACTCCACTGAATTCAGCTTGGCCACACCAGGGCTGAGTTTGCCTCCAAATATTTGCCTGTATTAATGCATGATTCTACACTGATCAAGAACAGAAAGCATCAGGTTCCACAGACCAAACAATAATATTCAGCACCATTTAACTCTGCAACAGGAAGAGTTTAAAACTTCAACCAACTCTTCAGATTCAAATATTGCCTTGTATGTGTCTGTGTTCAGTGGCTGAGAACTAATTTAAATCCCTTATCTTCTCATTCGCTTTATTTGGTGAACTCTTGAGATTTTCCCCATTTAGAGTGTGGGAAAGGACACTTACTTCATCAAAGAAGGAATAATAAGCTTTGCGCAACTGCACGCAGAGGGTCCAGACAGTGTGATCCTCGTGCAAATCTCAGTGAACTTAGAAGGGGGACTAAGAGAGTGGGGAGGCATCTGGCATACACACAAGCCTGGCCAAAAGGCCTGGAGAAGAACCTGAGTAAACCTGCAAGTCCACTCTATTAAGCAAGAGGGTTTGAAAGGCAGGCTGCTCAAGATCTATGCACAGATCTGACCATTGGCACAAAGTCGGGCAACCGGCCTGTTTCATTGCATGCCTTGGTAAGGAAGACCACATAACCAAACCTGAACACCGGAGGGGGAATCTAGAAGACATTGCTTGAGTAAAACTGTCACATTCCCCCATGCTTTATGGAAACTGGCTTATGAATATGCATAACTCAAAGACACTTTATGCAAAATGTAACATGCCATTTTAAAATGTGCATGTATCTTCCTTATATGTGAAGTTAGAAATATTAAGTGGAAACCTGTTTTTATTAGCCCGAACATTATATCTAGGAAAGCCAGATACTTCAGGAACTTGATGGTTCAGCGATCAAGTCAATGATCTGTGAATGTTTTTTTTTTTCCTGAAAGCCCAAACTGTGATTAGTCCTATAAAGACATATGCCCAGGCCAGCTGACTCTGGAACCCATGTTGGATCTGGTATTTTCCATTCAAGGTTAGAAAAATATGAACTGAGCACAAAGAATTCCCACCTCGGGCAAAAGGGATATAAGAGGGGAAAACCAAACAATAGGGGCAGTTACCAGATGTCAGAAGATCCTCTCTTGCCACCTAAGATGCC